GGGAAAGAGGGGGGAAAAAGCTCCTCAGCTTCTGACACTAGCTGCCCTCCCCAAGGCCTGTTTGACTATGGGAGAGTCTAATCTGACTGGTAGCAGACACAATTTGTCTTGCCTCCCATCCCCAGGAAGATTTGCCCCTCCTCACTAGTCATTTGCCCTGTGTTGAGAAGGGAGGTGCGGCACCCCCAGGAGCAGGGATCTGTGCCCATGGAAGGGCAGCAAGGATTCATCTCCATGTAGCAATTCCTCCCAGGAGTCTCTTGGGGCAGCCCTTGCTGACTGCCCCATATTCAGGACACTGAGCGAAGACCAAGTTACTCTTGGGAAAACTCTAAGTAGTATTTACAGCTTCACCCGCCAAAGCCTACACACTTCCATGAGTAGCCGTGACCACTGACAAACCCTGTCCTACAAGTCCACCTCTCCCAAAAGTGGTATGCCATGGTTAGCATAGCAACATTCACTGTCTGCAATTGTCTCATTGCAAAGGAGTACATTTCTTAATATTTTCACTGGCAGTCTTTTATTGGTATTATTCTTCCTTAGAAATTCAGATGTTGCAAAGAAGTAAAATATAGACACTAAAAATACTATCTTGCTAATACAGTTTAAGTAAAAGAAGAAATAGATGACTCGGAAAAGGCCAGGCTAATAGCCTTAGCAAAGTTAGAGTAAAGAAGTGGTTAAGGATCTAGATGATTTAATCCAGTTTTAAGAAAAGGTTTTACAGTGAGCAATTAGATGCTGTTTAAGGAATTAATCACTAATGGGTCATTAACTCTGACTGCTATTGTACAGTTAACAAGCCGAGGCAGGATTATTAGACTCGGCACCCAATTAAGAAGGAGAAGATATTTACAACAAAATGAACAAATGAGCTTTTAAAATGGAATGGGACAATTTGAAAGAAAGTGTAGGAACACAGAAAACTATACAGGGTACAAGAAAGATATGAGCTTGCATATGCCTCTGTCCCTTTGTTCTTTTGAAAAATATTTACCTGTCTGTGCCCACTTATGTTTAGCTGGTTAAAATATTTATTTTTAGCAATAAACTCATAGCTTTCCTTGAAGGACATGACTTGCACACAGTTTATCCATTACAGGGTTCACATGTACAATGTATAACAAAAGACCTGCTTAATATGTCAATAAAAGAACAATCACCATAGCTTGACATAATCTTTCATTTTTTGCTGGCAGGTGTTAGATCAGGAGCTTAATAAAAGTGAACAGGTGTCTTCAGCTGCTGTTTCTGCTGTCCTGTCATTGTGGTGTTATCTACTGTTATTCTTCGACTATCTCAAGTAACCAAGCATTCAGTGCTGGTTACAGCGCTGATCAAAAAGTCAGGGGGGTCTTTCCAATGGCTTTACAGGATGCAGAATAACTGGAGGCAACAGGGAAGGAGAGTGGTAGTGTCAAAATGTGGAAGGGCACCACTGAAATCTTGGGGACTTGCTTGTTAATCATGAGCAATAAGCACAGGTAAGAGCTTTTGGGCAACAGTTAAATGTGCTCATATGCAGGAGGGTTTTCAGCATCAGAGCTGCAGCTGGACTGCAGCCAAGTAATGACAAGTGGGATTGTTCCTACCCCCAAGGAGGAAGAGTGTACAGAGCCTGTGCAGTCATTTGTTAGTGCGTGTCCGTTACTGATGCAGCCCAGGGTGTGCAAGCACACAAAGAGACATCCTTCCCTTGTAGCCACCAGAGGACATGTGCCTTCTTGCAAGCCCAGCATCCTTGGTGGCACAAAGCTCACCTGTGAAAGGAGCGCTGGAGTAAGACCTAAAAACTGAAGCAATACAGTTTTTGTTCTCCTCCCCTCCCCCCAGAAGTTTACTCAGGTCTCCTTACTAGAAGTTAGCAAATTACTTCCCTGGTCCCAACAGCGACAGCACTTTCTTTTCCTGACAGCATGGCACTCTTTGCCAAGGAAGCAAAGAGCTGTGTGCTGGGGATGCTGGGCACCACCACAGACGCACGAACAGTGGCACTGACAAGTCCAGAGCCCAACAGGAGGGTCTGACCCAAGCAAGGCCTACATCCCCCCCTGAATTCAGTGGGGACCACTCACTGGGCCTCCCTGCACTCCCCCGGACTAGCAGAGCTCAGGGAAGGGAAGCCTGGGGGCCTGGGCACAGCATGTGCTCTGGTCCAGAGAGGCAGGTTGGATCTGCAGGGAGGCCGGGGAGAGAGGAAAAGGCGTTTCAAAATAGAGGGATTCCTATTATTATCTGTAAAAGAAGCTCTCCAGACAATAGATGGGGGCTGCTGTGGAGAAGACTGTGAAGGGATGTTTAGAAACTGCTGTCTAAGGTTAAAAAGCTCTCTGAAGTGAAGCTAAACAAAGCTGACATACTTGTTTCTGACAGGACTCTTAAAAGATATGCACAGATTGTGAAAATATAATTAGACGCCAGCCTTTGTCTGGCCACAACGAGTGGGAAATGGTGAAAGGAGAAGTCTCCCAGTCTGCATTGAATCATCTCCAGGACACAATGAGGGCGCTTGTGCATCCTTCTCTCTTCCCTAATGAGAAACGTTAATTGCCACAACCTTCAGAGTGTGTAGAGCACCCCATGCCCAGTGGAGAAGGGGTGTTTCATTACAGCTTCTCAGCCCCATTACAGGCAGTAACGGAGATAATGAAAAATAAAGATACCGCAGTTTTAGTTTCAGCAGCTTGGCGATGGGCACTGGGTGGGCGGAGGAGCGAGCACGACGCAACGCCGTGCCAGCCTCTGGGGCCTGCATTGGGCAGCCTCACCAGGCAGGACGTACCCAGCAGGCCCCTCCTGCACGCTCTGCCCCTGCTGACGGCTCTGGCCACCCAGTCGGGCAGCCAGTGCCCTGTCAGCTACCACCCATCTCCCCCCAAGGGCAGCTGGGCTGCAGGGGCACGGGGCCCTGCAGCACCTGCCAATCCCCTTCTCTTAGAAGGCAGCAACAGCCAGGGGACTGGCACCGACCCCAGCCCACTAGGGCAGGGGTGGGCAAAGCCCATCTGAACCCAGGGCTGCCCCACAAGGGCAGCTGTGGGAGTGCTGCACCTGACCCACGGACTGCCAGGGCCCTGGCCCCTCCTTGCCGAGCAGGAAGCCCCATAGTTGGATGCGCTCCCTGCTGTGGAGCTGCTGCCCCGAGCCCCCAGTGCTTACAGCCAGTTTGGGCACGGTCCTGCTGCTGGAGCGGGAGGGCGGAAGGCCCACGGCCAAGCCTGTCCCACCCCTCTGCACATCACAGGCAATGGAGGGTCCAGCCCAAGCAGCCCACTCACACGCAAAAACACAATGCACAGCCTTTGTGAAGGTCGTGCCATTTAATGGTGCAAAACCAGAAAACCCTCCCCAGGTAACGCAGGCCTCTGTTCCCAGCCACCTTACACAGCTCTTCGCCCTACTGCAGCTTTTATTGCAACTAAAGCATCCAGCCACGGCGGGAGAGCAAAAGAGATTTTTTTCCTAAGCTATGATCAGGCCCCTAACTCTGCAGGGCATGTGGAAAAGGGAATTAAAAGGACCACAAAATACAAAGCAAGTCGGGGTGTGGGGGAAAAGCTGGTGCAAGGGACAGCCCTCCCTTGCCTTGCCATTTGGGGGAGCCAGTGCAGGGCAAGGGTGTCCCTTGGTTGTCCGAGGACTGGCCTTCCCCGTGGGTTTCTCCCACGTGCTGAAGAGGGAGTTCAGATTGTCTGCCAGGGTTTGCCGATGGACTGGATGTGCTCCTTGGCCTTCATCCGCAAGGCAGCAATGCTGGTGTTGCGCGGGTCTGCCTCATCCAAGGGGAACTTGTCCACAAAGGTGGCCCCGCACTGGTAAGGTGGCGGTGGCCCCATGGCGCCCAGGGGCTGCAGCGCATGGGTCACTGCCGGAGAGTTCAGGAAGGGGGGTGGTGTGTAGCTGCCGGGCAGGCTCTGCGGCGAGGCCACAAAGCCAGGCAGGGTCTGCAGGGCGGTGCTGCTGGGCACAGGCGGGCTGAGCCATGTCTCCAGGGGCAGGTTGCTGCTGAGGGGACCCATGGGTGTTGCCTGCGGTGAGCGGTTGAAGGAGAGGATGGGCGAGTCCTGCAGCTTCATAGAGGTCACCTCCAGCTTCTCCTGCCGCCGCCGCTTGGCCCGTCTGTTCTGAAACCACACCTGCAAGCACAGCCGCGTTAGCCGGGCCACAGGGCAGTACAGCAGC